TTTTTAATTTACAATAGACTTTTGGTATAACGAAAGATATACTTTCAAAGCCTTAAACTTTTATCTGCATATTTAGGTATAGATAATCATCTCTACTTGAAATTTCTGCCAATATTGAGTTCATTGTCTATTAAGCCGTCTATACGCAATCGTGCTCATAATTTGCATCAAAGTTAATAAATTTACGTTAATGTTATAATAAATATTATTGAAGATATGCAGTTCATATAAAACATTCATTATTTAAAGAGAGCTTATTTGGCAAATTCATTATTTTGAATAATTAATTTCATCGTTCGTTATATCGAATATTCGTTAACCTGTGAGTCTATTGTACAACAATATTAATTACCTGCAAAGTAAGAGCCAGATTTACTGCCCGGTAATGGTATTTTACTTGGTTTACTAGCTGCAGTTGTAAACTTTTTTACTGCTTGATAGCCGCGCGCTGAATAGTGTTGTTCAAATGGGCTTACACCACCAACACTAGTACTCATTAATTTACTGTTTATAGTTTGCGGAGAATCCTGCTGCAATTCATGATCATGTGCCGATTCAGTACTGCTACTATGTTGTTGTATATCATCCAAAGCAAGGTGTACCATAGCTTTCATGCTCGGCGTAGAAATTTGTGTTGCAGTTGGTTGTGGCATATGACCATTTTGCGATATTGGTGTACCTGAACGCATATCGCTGCTATTCAAATCGATACCATAACCAGCGCGTCTACTTATCATTAGTGTTGTCGAAGCAGATGAACGATTTGTTTCATAATCGTTTTGTGAATGCATATATGAATTTGTTGTAGCTCCACTATTTGGTGTTGATGAATGCATACGTGACTCCAGCACACGCAATTGTGCTTTAGTACCTTCCAGTTCGATATTTTTCTCCTCAAGCTGAACGTGAAAAGTGAAAAAAGCAATGTAGTAAATCATTTAACAAATATTTATATAAATTTTACCTGAAAACGTAAATCTTCAACATCTTCTTTTGATTTGTCCAGTCTTTTGGCTATATGAGTTTTAGATTTTGTTGCTTGATCGAGTTTTTGCATTAAAACCTTTACAGAAAACAGAAAACAGAAAAAAGAGAAGTTAAAAAGTTTTCGAATTGAAAAGTGGAAATGAATTGAGTGGAAGATTTACCTGATTTTGCACAGTCAATGTTAACAAATGTCGTTGCAGCTCAACTACACTATTTTCCATTAAAATTGCCGCAAAACGTTTAGAGTCAGTCACGCGACATTTTGTGTTTTTAGCACTGGGTGTGCTCACAATGCCATCCAATCGACCGAGTGTATTTGCTGTTACTGCTACTGGCGATTCTTTACTATCACTGCCTGCGCTTCGATGGAATGCTAAATAATTGTCACTTTTTTGTTGCTGCTGTTCGACCACCACCGGTTGGAATGTATTTAAACGACGATTTTGTTGTAAAGGAACTGTTGTTGCTGCTGCCGCCGCAAGATTTTCATTATGAGATGCGCCACTACCGGTTGAAAGCACCGTCGTGGCCGAGGATAAAAAGTTACGTTGACTCGAGTAATCTGATTGACTGTACATAGAAAAACAAAATATATTTAATTTATAATATAAATTATATAAAATAATTATAAATATTATGCGTTACCTTGATGAACTTTTACTTTGTTGTTGCTGTTGTTGTAATTGCAATTGTTGCACACGTGAGCTAAGCTCCAATTTTTGTGCCATTGCAAGCTTTAGTTGCTCTTCGAGATCCTTTTTAACTGTTATCAGCTCTGTCATTTGATCATTCATTTTAGTTGCTTTAATGCGACCAGTTAAAGTTTCCGCTTCCATTTCAGCTAACTTATCTAAAAGTCTATCGCGTTCCTTTCGCAACTGTTTAATGTCTTCCTTATTTAAACGTTCTACATGATCACGAAAAGTTTTGGGCGTCAAACCACTTATAGCGCTACTGCCACTATTTGACTTTGTCAGAGCATTAGCACAATTATCTTCACCGTTATTAGAGACACCACCACGCAGATTATTTCTCTCATAGTTCTGTAAGTGTTCGACCTCTTCGCGTAATCTATTTGATTTCCGATGTATTACATCTAATAAATTTAACAACTCATCATCCGACTCAAGGCATAATAGACGATTTGATGCTATGGGACCCTATAAGAGAAATTGTTTGTTAATAAAATATGCATATAAAATTGTTTTCTATATTTAAACTTACAGTCATAGCACCATTAGTTGAGGAGGCACTATGACCCTCCTTTGATGAACTAGTCTCTGTTGAAAATCCTGAATCTTGCACAACACTACCGTTATTGTTCTCACCGCTCTTTGGCTCTTTTTTACCGCTATGTGAATTGCTGCGACTACGCGTTAGTGATGAGGAGGACAATTCACCAGCTACAACAGCACCGTTTGTGCTTACCGCAACTGCTGCAGTCGAAGTTGACGAGGACGGTTCCTTTTGCGCTAATTTACGTTTTACACGTATACCAGGTTCCCATTCACGTCTATAATAAAAAATATAAATAATAAAAATTAAAAAATAATAAAAAATTTTATACATTTCTTTTCAATTAACTAACCTGGAAGCTAGTGATGAATTGGACATAACACCTGTTAGTGTGTTTGTCGCTGATACTGACGGTGTTGTTGAACCAGCAACCGCTGCAGATGCAGACGAAGACATTGAGGCCATTTTATGTTTAAGATCAGGAAACGTTTCAATGACAAGATCTCGAAACTCGAGTAGTGCACCGACCTCATGTTGCAGTTCTTGCAGCGATTTCGTCTGATCGCTGTGTATATGATGACTGCTGCTATGATGAAGTGGATAGTTATTGCTGTACGGTGAATGGTGGTTTAATATATGGTGATGATTTAAGTTCATGTGGTGTTGATATGCAACATTACTAACAACACCGGGTGCACCATTTACACCACCAGTTGTCGTTGTCGTATGATGATGCATATTATTGCTTAATGGTGAACAATCCAAAGCGCCGACAACAGCACCGATGCCATTGCTATTTAGTGTGCAGAGTGCAAGATCATAGGAGTCATTCTGTCAATGAGAAATAATAAGTAGAAAATAATTACTATGTATCGAATAATAAAACCATCTTAATTGTTTAAACTTAAAATTAATTTAAAACGATAGACTTTATACCAAATTTGGTTACAACTTAATTGCTTCTTCGATTGACAAAGTCAATTTGAAACGCACTAAGCACTAGCAATTAGCGCTATTGTTTGGCACGCCTACTTAATGGAGTTGAACGCTAATACAGTGTGGTTTTATTGAAAAGAAAGCGGTTTGAAATAGTCTGTTACCCGAGCAAAAGTAAAGTAAAATAATTATAATCATTTTGGAGCACCGATGTCATGTGTGATACAGTCTACAATGGAAAATGTGTTGTCATGCGAACGAGGCTAAATTGAACCTCAATTGTAGCTTGAAGGCTTTGACAAATTTTTGCCATTCGCTTTATATGCATCTTAATGTGCTGCTGCAATTGGTAGCCTAATTGATATTTAATCAGAAATGAGATCTGTAAGCGAAACTTGTGATAAAAAAAATTAAAAAAGATTATTTTTAAAATACAATTTAAATTCAATGGCTATCGTTAATTTATGTTAAATTTTAAAAAAAAAAAAAAACAAAATGTTAAATCGTTTTAGATACAACGTAAGCGAATAATATATGCATAATTTTTTTTTTTTTTTGGTATGCGGTAAAAAATACTCGTGTTTATTATTATTATGATGTTTACTAATATTATTATTATTACGTTGGGAGATTTCACAAGGCAACCTAGTGATATATTGCATCACTTTCATGGATTCAGAGTATTTTTCTAAGCCCCATTTCTTTAATTACAGTATAGAATCTGCTTGGTTGAGTCTTATTTTTTTTTATACGATATATTATACGATAAACTAGTACGTAAGAGATAAAAAAGATATTAGGATCATACCTAATACCAGGTAAAGAATCAGTAACGTTAATTCCAGCGATAATTTTTGAATTCTTGAGAGCAATGGGACTAGATATGGTTTTTATCTATTATAGTAGAGTGTAATACAAAAAATCTTTTGATCTCAGTACTTTATTTATTTCACATCCACATTATTATAATTATTATTAGCCGTTCTCCATCAGAAGTATAAACTTGTTACATAGAATCTCCAACTCTTTCTATATCTAATAATATGAGGTAATTCAAGTAAAAATTTGCCGGTTTCATTTGTTATCATTCTTCTCCAGGTATTACATGGTCTTCCTCTGTGTCTGTTGCCTTGGGGATTCCATTGAAATCTTATGTGGCATATTTTGTCATACGGCTTTCAAAGAGTGTGGCCAAGACAATTATATTTCCGACGATTGATTTGTTACCTTCTTGGTTTGTTTGTTAAAGTGGTTCCATAATTGAAAGAATTTGAAGTTTTCTTTATACCAAGTCATACAATATGGCGGATTTTACATAGGCATTGTAAATATGGATACATTGAGATATAGAGAAGATATTTCATTTGAATTCCATATACTACAAAGACACTGTAAACATGGATTTTACATGGAGATATAGAGCGATATTTCATTTGAATTCCACACACTACGAAGATTGTAACCATATTCACATTTAATTACAAATATAATAAAACCAAACGCCATTACAATTTATTTTATCAATTGAATTTAATTTTTATAAAGGTGCCTTATTATATATACATGCTTTTAACCTAAAAATTTTCCATGAAGAATTCTCAATAGCTCTGTCTGAAGGTTATTTAAGTTTCGATAAAATCAAACCAAATTTTTTTTTTTTTTTTAAATGTGTTAATTAATTCAGTAAAGGTTTAAGAGAAAATAAATTGCATATGACGTCACAGTGAGTTAGAGAAAATTACATATTACATAAATATGTAAAATCTATTACATATGTTATTGACTTTTTTCTTTGTCACGTTGTGCGCATATGATTATTTTCGAGAAATAAGGCCAGGTTACAACAGAGAGACCCCTAAAGCGCGAAGTCCAAATTTTTATTTTATTTTATTTTATTTTATTTTATTGTATTTTATTTATTGTTGACATTTTTTTACCTTTAAAAATAGTAAAAATAGTAAAGTAAAAATTTCTAAAAATTTCACTACTGATAATAATAATAGGAAAAACATCATAAATAGAAAGCAGTAGTTAGTAGTTGAAAGTAATTTGTCTTCATAAACATTTGTTTAGAAGAAGCAGTTCAACACAAATATATATAATAACAAATATATATAGTATTATAAAAAAATAAAAAATAAAATAAAAAATAAATAAGAAGTCAATATAAACAATGTGTGGCATTGTATTTTACTTGTGGCATTTGTTGCACATTTGCCGATAAATGCAGCATGAAATGACCGCAGTAAAAAGGTTAGAAATGTGTCAAGCTGAGATTATCACAAATCGAAAAACAAACATCATTTCATAGCCGCAACATAAGAATTTTTTATACACGATTGATTCAAAATGATTTCACACAACTTTTTTATTTTTACATTTTCTATACATTTTCTTTCAAACGATTTAATGTTTTTTATGCATGAGTATCTGTATCTATATATCTTTTATATTTGTTTCACAATTTAACATTTTCTGATTGCAAATGAAATGAAAATCACAATTTGCGTGCTTGTAAATATTATTATTACAAATATTGATCAAACAAACAAATTTTTATGAAAATATCTTTAGTGCCAAAACTTGTAAAACTTAATTATTTTTTTTTTATTGCATGCATTCAACATAGTTCATGCTTATAGCCTTGAAATACTTTAATTTATTATTATTTTTGTAATAAAATATATTTATTTATATATATATATTATTTCGTAAATAACTTCAAATTATATTTTAATGTTAAAAAAAACAATTTGACCGATGAAGCATAAAATTTAACCCACTTTACTAACATTGAAGCCCTAAAAATTCATATCATTCATCGTTCATCATTGGAAATATCATCATTTAAGTTTAAAATTATTAAAAAAAATGTTATGGTTAATTATGAAAAACAAATTTATTAGTATTTGCAAAAAAAAAAAAAAAAAACAAATATAAATAATTTATAACAAATTTGAAGATACCAAATTTAAATACATATAATACTTTATGTAACACAAATTAACTGCTAAGCTTTTTTTGGCACTTAAAGGTGCAGCTATAAGCTCTATCTGCTGTTTTCACACTAATCAATATCTATTAAATATCGCACTCATTTCTACTCAAAAAAAAAAAAAACACATAAAGGTGAAAACATAAGACCTACTCGCGGTAAGATAAAACAAACCTGTCTAATGGACAACCCGTCTATAAAACTAAGAAACTAATAAACTTGCGTAGAACCGAAAACAGCAATATTACATCTGGCCATAGGAGTTCTAATTGGCAGTATTTGTAGCATCACCAAAAGATCAAAAATAATCACTAACAAGACCACCTATTGTGCAAATGTCCAACCTTGACAAGGAGCAAAGCTATAATACATAGAAAGCACTTTTTCGAAGACCCCAAAGAAGTGTCAGAAAAAATGATATTGAAAATTGCACAACATTTTCAAAGAAAACAATAATTTTTTCCCTGAATGAGTTATAGAAACCATCTTAGTGGTTTTGGAGGGTAACAGTTTGAAACAAGAGCACTAACAACGGACCCATGCAAGGTATAAATGAAGTTGCATAAAGATTCGCATAGAAACCTAGACCCAAAATCTAGCTAATACAACAAAAAAGAACTTCCAAAAAGTTTTTTTTTAAAATAAAATCAGACAGAAATAAACAAACAATTTAGAAGTAGAATTTAAAATATTATTTGTTAAAAATAATTTAAAAAAAATACGAATAACAAAAAAAAAAAACTGAATATCAAAATATTACTAATGATGAAAACTGAATATTCTACAATACCAGATGAAAAAAATCATATGACAAGTCCAAGCAGTAAAATTGGCACTAATACCTAATGATGCCTAAATAGTAATAACAGTAGAGTTCAGAGAGGTATCATCCAGAGAGGTAACCGTTAAAGTCTGGTTGAAATATTTAAACAAAAACTTGCTCGCGAATAGTAAATGGGAAGTTTTATTTCAGTCACCGTATAGCTCTTACCTTGGCTTTCCCACTATAGCCTTCTACCTTTAGCACATGTCTCATCTGGAAGTCGATTCAATTCATCCAAGGTATCAAAAATTGCTTTGTTATTGGAATCATTCTTGGACTCAAA